CGATGCATCGCCGATGCGTCGGCATGGCGTCGACGATGCGGCGAGGTCCACCGACCCCATCTCTGCGCTGACCTCATCTAGGATTAAGTCGGGCCTGTCCCTCTACTGGGGGACGATTCAAAGATAGTCAAAAGTATCCCGGTGGCGATTCTTCTTAGCATTTCTGATTCTTTGTTGAACATCTGTTTCGAGTATTTTTGATTTTTCGTTCAAGATCCCCCTGTATGGGGATGCCTTCCCAATGCCGCTCGCAGAAGTGTATGCGTCCATGCCACGCCGCCGCCTTCTCGTCGAGCCTCCAAGGCCACTCCTGCCCCGCATTGCGCGGGGGCTGGGTAATTACGTCGCCAGGGTCGTTTTGAGTTTTCGTCCGGAATCCCCCGTGCAGGGGAGCAGGCCCGACCCAAATCCAGGGTGCCTCTGAGGAGGCCGCCGCGCCCAAGCGGCGCGACGCCGGCGAAGTTGCGGCCCGCGGCCTGCCGGCGGCGGCGGCCGCGGCGGCGGCGGCCGCCGCGGCGAAGGTCTCGGGGCAGCCCCGCGGCGCGTCGGGCTGCGCTGGCGGCGAGGCGTCGGAGGCGTAGCTGCCTCGATGCGCCCGTTTTTATGATGCGCAGCACGTGCCCCAGGGGCGGAAGGGAGACGTGCACGTGCATGAGTCCACGTTGGTGTCGAGAGTACACATTGCGAGGACGTTCGAGTCACGCGGCCGGTCTTGCGGATTCGGGGGCCGTGTTCATGTACATGATTGGGCGCGTACGTTCTCTGTGGGCTCCCTAGCACCGTGCTCACAACGTCCGTGTCGATACGTTGCGTGTTGGCTCAACGTCCTGCACGTCCACTTCGGCACCGCCTGTTCCCCGGGCCCCGCCCATTCCGGCCGCCTGAGGCCCCGCCTTCCTGTGCCCTGTCTCCCTGGTTAAAGCTGTGCGTAGCCCGCCTAGCTTTTAGCGGAAGAGGTTCGCTCTCGCCCCGCAGATCAAAAAGTGTTGGCTCAACGTGTTGGCCCACGTATTGGCGAAGGCATCGCGTCAGGCCTGCGTTTCCAGTCTGCGTGTTGAGCTCCGTGTCCACCCGCCACGTGCTGCGTGTTGCGTATCGGGGCAGCTCAGGTCGGAGGGCAGCGACACGGACGAGGACCCAGACGAGGCCCGGGACGAGGTGCAGAGGAGGAACAAGTCGGGGGCGGCAAAGAGGGGGGTGATGACTAGAGGGGCGTGGAAATCATGGCGGGGGCCATGATATTTCCCCAGATTTCATTGCGCCTCTTCTCATTTCATTACGTCCCTGGCCCCCCCGCTGGGCCGCGCACATGCTGCCGGTCAAGATTTGCACCCCCCCTCTTGGACACCCCCCTCTTGGCTACTCCCGAATAAGCCCCGCCGGCGCTGCCCTCGGGGTGGCAGTGGGTGGTGGCTTACATGGAAGGTGAGGAAAGGGGCCCTACCCTTTTCTTCACCCCCCACCTAGGTCACCCCTTCTTAGCCGGCAGGGTTTCTCTGGTTGCATACCTGCCAGAGGATTTGTTAATCGCATTTTCCCGCGTGTGCTCGAGGCTTGCACACCAGAGGATTTTTGAACTGTGTTTTCCGACATGCTCAGCGCACGGTCTGTTTTCTAGGGGGCCTATCCGTTTACCAGAGCCGGCACGCAGGCTTCGATTCCATTCCATTCTCGCAGGCCTAGATGTTGACACCAAGACCAATTTCGGCGGCGGTGTGCCTCCACCGAGGGAAGAAGATCCCGATCTCGGTGATGGTGGTAATACTCTGGCTTCCAAGGTGGCCGAAATATTACCACCAACACCGAAATCTAGGATCATGTTCCCCATGTGGAGGCAACCCCCTCTGTTGGTGATGGTGCCCATTTCCAGGCTTTCTATAACATTCCTCATTTCCACCCGCCCGAGTAGCGCTATCCGTACCTCTTTCATTTCCCCAAGAAGGTGCCCGCGCAGCTGCCCCTCGGCGAAAGCAGCAGGAGCACCGTCTGGAACTCGCTGACGCGCGGCAGCACGGGGCACTTCAGGAGCACGGTGCACTCTCAACCATCCGCAGAGCGCCTTGTGGCAAGGAGGAGGCGGAGGCGGAGGCGGCGGAGGCGGAGGAGGAGGAGGAGGCAGGAGGGAGGAGGGGGGGGGAGGAGGAGGCCAGGAGGAGGAGGAGGAGGAGGAGGAGGCGGAGGAGGCGGAGGCGGAGGCGGAGGCGGAGGCGGCGGAGGACGAGGCGGAGGCGGAGGGGAACACGCAGCCGAGTCAGGAGCACGGTGCACACGCTGCCCAGGAGCACCGTGGGCACGGCCGTGAGCACCATCGGCCCCCTGGCGAGCGAGGCTCGCGCCGGCGCGGCCCGCGGCAGTGTGTCCTTCGGGCAGCTGCAGGGGCTCCTGCCGTCGCTGCTGCCCAGCCTCTCGTCCTTCGTCGGCTCGGGGAGCTCAGAGGAGAAACAGGTAGTTACCGATGCCGCTGCCCTTGCTCGTTCTCGTTTTTCGGGGCCTCCAGGGAGGCCCTCGTCGCCACGGTTGGATTCGCCTCGAGATGATGGTCAGAATTCATCCTGGGAGAGGCCTGGGGAGAAGCGGCGTCGGTACTTGTCTGTTTACCCACAGGAGCAGCCGCGGCTCCACCCACAGCGTCGAGTCGGTCTCCTCAGTGGCCAGCGAGGACAGGGACCTGGCCGAGCTGTCCTCGGGCCAGCTCCGGGGCCGGCTGCGCTCGCTGGGGAGGATCCTCACCAGGCGGTGGCGCAACTTCACGCTCTTCGGCGTGAACCGCCAGGACCAGACCCCGCGCGTCTGGGGCCATCGCATCGGCGCCACGGACAGAGGCCTCTGCAGCACGGAGGCGGCGCCGCGCTGCTCGCTGCGCCGGATGGTGCGCCAGCACGCGTACCACGACGAGATGCGGCTGCAGCTGCGGGACGAGCGGGTCGGGCTGCACTACTCCGACGCGTTCGGGGCCGAGGGCCGGCCGTCGCGGAGGATGATCCGCGTGTTCTCCTCGGGGGCCGCGTGGCTGGAGTATCTGAAGCTCATCATCTCGAAGAGAAGAAAGCGGCATGCACATCAGTTCCTGCAGCTCCGCGCGGACGCTTGTGATCGACGCCGGAGCCCCTGGGCGGCGCCTCTGGCGCCCTGCGCCCGCCAGGGGAGGGGGGTCCTGCGCCAGTCCGAGAGAGCCGCGCAGAGCTCAAAACGTTCATATGCGCATGCCGTCTTCTGCTCCTCGGCCATCGCCGTCTACACGTTCCTCTTCGCGCTGGTGCTCGCCGCGTTCTGGCAGGAGCCTGTTTTTTCTAGACTCTGGCAAGTTTACTTGCATGGACGTGGGGGGGGCTGAGCCTGAGGCAAGCCCGGGGGGTGGGGGGCGCGGACATCACGTAAGTCGAAAGGCACTTGCACGCTAGTACTCGCTTGAATAGGGTTGGCTAGGGGGGGGGGGGGGGAGTGGGCGAAACGCCATGCAAGTAAACTTGCCTGAATCCAAAAGAAACAGGCTCCAGGTGGTCGAGGGCTGGGGCCTGGCCTGGGACGCGGGGGCGGACGCGCTGTTCGCGGCGTGCCTGCTGCTGCAGCTGCGGACGACCACCCTGCAGGTGGACACCGGGAGCGAGCTGTGCAGCCCGAGGTCGGGGGCGGAGAAGAGGGGGGGGATGGCTAGGGTTATGTCGGGCGTGTCCCCCTACAGGGGGGCCTTTCGACGAAAAATTACAAATACCCCAAACATGCCCCAAAAAGGTCAAACAAATACTTTAAAAAATAGTCCCCAGATTATTTTTGGAGCATGTTTCTACTATGTTCGGGGTATTTATTATTTCTCGTCGAACATCCCCCTGTAGGGGGACAGGCCAAACTTAATACTAGGGGGGGTGGATATCATGGCGGGGGCCATGATATTTCCCCAGATTTCGTGGCGCCTCTTCTCGTTTCATTACGTCCCTGGCCCCCCCCCGCTGGGCCGCGCACATGCCGCCGGTCATGATTTGCACCCCCCCCCCCTTGGACACCCCCCTCTTGGCCGCTCCCGACGAGGGGCATCCTGCGCGGGCACCTGCGGGACCCGCTGTTCTGGGCGGACGTCGGGTCCTGCGTCCCCGTCTCCCTGCTCCGCTGGCTCGTGGGGCTCGCTGGAGGCGGCAACGCTGTCAGGCGAGCAGTGCAGAACAGCGGGGCAGACTGCGCCGTCATTCGCGCGCGAGCTGCCCGCGCAAGGTCGCGCGCAAGCGCCCTCGTTTCCGGTGCAGCGTGCCGCGCTGGCGGCCCGCGTAAGCCACCGCGCAAGGTTGCAATGCCATCTCGCGCAAGACCCCTTTCCTTCGCTCAGGTGGCTCGTGGTGATGAAGGCCGCGAGGGGCTGGCGCATCTTCCGCGCCCCCCCGAAGCAGCGATTCATGCCCTCGCTGTCTTTCGTGCTTCTGCGCATCTTCCTCATCGTCTTCATGGGCGGGCACTTCCTCGCCTGCATCTGGTTCCTCGTCGTCCACGAGGGCGAGCGTTCCCTGGGCCTGCACGTGAAAGAGAAGGACGACGCCTTCGCGCGGTGCGCGCTGGACTCGGCGCCCGTGGACTCCGACTGCTTCTGGCACCTGTACGCGCTGTCCATCCACACCGGCATCTACCTCCTCATGGGCGTCGATCGCGACGCGTACAGCGCCCTCGAGTACGCCTACCTCACGGCATCCAGAGGAGGAGAGAGCGGCATGAGCATGATTGTCCCGAGCTCCGCGCGGCGTCCGTCGATCGGCGCCGGACCCGCCTCCCTGGGGAGCGCGCCAGCGGCGGCGCCGTGGCCGCCGCCGGGGGGTCTCCAGCGCCGATCCAAGCAAGCTGCGCGGAGCTCCGAAAGTTTGTGTCCGTGCCGTTGTTTGTTCCCCTGTGAGGTATGCATGCCCGTGGGCTCGATAATAAACGCCTACGTCCTCGGCGAGATCATCCTGCAGCTCCAGCGGCGCGGGGCGATGGAGACGGAGAGGAACGAGCACGTGCTAGCCATGCAGGAGGCCATGCGCATCCTCGGCCTTCCCCCGAGCCTGCAGGCGAGTGGCGTGATGCAACCAGCACAGAGGAGGAAAAGCTACCGATGCCGCAGCTTACCTGGCCTGGGTCTTCCATATTCGTGTCGCTAGCAGCTCAGATTCTCTTGTTTGGATATGTTGGGAGGCCCTCGTCCCCACGGCTGATTCGCCCCAAAGTCAGAGCGTGAATTACCTACCCCGCTTTCGCTTCCAGGCAAAACCAAGCCATACCACGCGCCTCCTCGTCAAGCGGCCTGACCAGTACAGGCTGCAATTTGGCGTCGTTGGGTATCTCTGGGAAGCGAGGGTGGTCAAAAGCGAGGTAGGTTTGTTTTCCCCCTACAAAGTCCTGGCTACATCGCGCCCAGGGAGCGGTCTGGGAGCAGCGGTGTCAACAGAGCTCGCCCCCCCTAACCGCGGATCGGACGCACCGATCATTTCGCGCGCAAGCCGCCCGAGTGAGGTCGCGCACGAGCGTTTTCATCTCCACGCTGTGTTCAGCATCGTCTAGCCGATCCCCACCTCCATTGGGCCAGGGTGACATCTCAGCCCCACTAGGTCGCCCGCCCAGGCTGGGATGTTTCCCGCGAAGCCCGAAGGGAGCAGCACATATCCTCACCTAGAGGGGCATGTCGGCCAATTGGGCCAATGCCATGCCCGTGGAGATAGGGATCGGTGAGCCGATGCTCATGTGTGCTTCGGGGTGCGCAATGCGGGTCGCAGTCGCAGTCGCAGACATGTGTGCCGCGCTTGCGGCCCGCATGAGCCATTGCGTGAAATCACCGCGCCGTCTCGAACTGGACCCTATTCGTGACGTCGCCGAGGTGCGCATCAACACCTACAACACGTACGAGCGACTGCACCGCAGCGCGCGGCTGTTCGACTCGTTCTTCACCGACCTGTCGCCGCAGCTCAAGTTCGAGTTGCAGCTGCACCTCTACCTGGACGTGGTGGTGCATACCGGGCTCTTCCGGAACATGCGCCCAAGGGTGCTCGGGGTTGGGGTCTTATGTTCGGAAGGCACCAGCTGTACACCGATCTTGGGTCCAGGATCGTTTTATGTGCCTTCCTGTCCAAGCCAGGGGGGCGAAAGCCTCGATCTTGAGGCCTGGGATGAGCCTTGCCAGGACTGGTGTAGGTTGCGCAGAGGCCAGGACCAGTGTATAGTTGGCGTCCCGCTATTTGCAGAGGCACAGGAGACCAGGCACACACACACAGACACACAGACACACAGACACATAGACACACAGACACACAAACACAGACATAGGCACCATAGACACAGACACAGACACAGACACAGACACAGACACAGACACAGACACACACACACACACACACACCTCAGCCTGCCTCAGCCTCTGCGGCGCGTCCGTAGCAACTGTCGCAGGCCAGAACACTTCAACTTCGGCCTCCAAGGGTCTTGCGTCCTTACCACGCGTCCTTACTGCACGTTTTCACTGTAGGCGGGGCGCCAGGAGCGGCCAGGCGCAGGAGGCGGAGGGCCGGGACCCGAGGCCCGGGCGCGGGGGCGGGGCCCATTTGCGCCGGGCGCCCCCCTGACCGCGGGAGGCCCCGAGGGGGGGGGGGCGCTCATGGCTTGAGCCAGAGAGCTACGCACACACACACACACACACACACACACACACACACACACACACGCGCACACAAGCACACACACAACACACACAAACGCACACACAAACACACACACACACACATACACACACACACGCACGCACGCACGCACGCACGCACGCACGCACGCACACACACACACACACACACACACACACACACACACACACACACACACACACACACACGCACACACACACACACAAACACACAAACACACACTTTTTGCGCCGTCGGCTAGGCAGAGTAAGTGCGCTGGCGGAAGAGCCAACTGAACGGGGGCACCGTTGTAGCGATATGTGCCACAATGCAAGCAATGTGAAAAATAATGGGAGGGCGGCCGAAGGAGGGGGAGGAGGAGCGCGGGCCGCTCAGGGGGACGGGACGGGTCACACCAGGAGCGCGTGGCGCGGCTGGCCCCGCGGCAGGGTCTGCGGCGGCTGCTGCGCCGGGGGCCCAAAGGCGGCGGGGCGCATTGCGGGGACCAGAACAAGGGTGCGATGCAATCAGCGCCGGGGCCAACAGTTGATGGCGGCGCGCCCGCGAGGGTCGGGAGCGGGCGCGGTGTGCCCAGCAAGTTGCTGGGCCGCTGTGGCGGCGGGCGGCAAGACCAAGCCCGGGGCTCCAGTGTGGCGGCTGCGGGCAGCCAGTCATCGAAATGGCGGCGCGTGGAGGGACAGCGAACGTGGAGGGCAGAAGTGGACAGGGAGGAGGACGCCCCGCCTGCAGAAACCCACAGGCGGGGCGGCGGCGCCGGGCAGCAGCAGCGGCGCCGGGCTGCGCCGCCCGCGCGCGTGGAGGGCAAATGGAGACGCCCAGAGGGCGGAAGGGCAGCCGAGGCGGTCCCCGGAACGGGGGGCGAGGAAAGGGCGGTGCCCAAACGGTGCGTGGCGACGTGTAAGTGAGAGTTGGCCCTTTCTGCCTGGTTTGAAAGGGTGGGCCGATGGGGGACAAGGGCGGCGGAGCCCGGTGCTCCGCGCCGCTCGGAGGGCATCCGTGGGATCCTTCCCCACCTCATCATTCCTTACCGTCCAGGGTCTGGGGGTGCACTTGACCAGTGCATGATCAGCAGATCGGTTTTGGGCCCTCCCTGCTGACGGCGTCATCCAGGGTGGAGTGCCAGTGGAGTGCTCCGCGTCGCACGGAGGGCGTCCGAGGAACCCGTGCAATTCTCCTCCCGCCTCCCCTCCTGGTCTGGGGTCGCACCTATCCGGTGCATGATCATTGATTTATAACTGCGCCCTCCCTGCAGGCGGCGGAGCCCACAGGGTGAGGTGCTCCGCACCGCACGGCATCCCTGGAATCCCTCCCCACCTCCTCCTCCTCCTCCTTCCGTTCCAGGTCTTGGGGGCACGTAGTTGGCGCATGATCAGCATGCTGGGCCTGCGCCCGCCTTGCAGGCGGCGGAACCCACAGGGTGAGGTGCTCCGCGCCGCACGGAGGGCATTCCGTGAGTCCCTCCCATTTCCTTCTCCCTCCGTCCTTGGTCTTGGGGCGCAACCTAACCTGTGCATGATCAGTAGACTGGGCCTGAGCCCCCCCTGCTGACAGCGTCGCACCCATGGTACGGTGGTCCGCGCCGCATGGAGGGCGACCGTCAACGTGGTAATTTTGTTCCATCTCCCTCCTCTCTTGGTATGGGGTCGCACCTAACTGGTGCACACTCGGTTGTAAGGGGCTGCGCCCTCCCTGCAGGCAGCGTCGCACCCAGGGTAGAGCGCTCCATGTCGCAGGGAGGGCGTCCGCAGGATCCTTCCCTCTTCTCTCCATTTTCGACATGGTGTCCAAGGGCACACCTAACCGATGCAGTTGCAGACATGTTAGAGTGTGCCATCATTGGGGGCACCATCGCACCTGGGTCAGAGTGGTCAGGGTCGTAGGGGGGGCGAACTGGGACGAGCGTGTCCGGGGAAAGTCAAGGGCGTTCGTTTTCGGGAAGTCCCCGTGGGGGCGTTTTACCCGGAACGTCCCGTTGGGGGTCTCAGCCGGCACCCCACTGGGGTTTCCCTTCTTGGTGGGACGCAGCCTTGATCGTCGCGGTCGCCGGCGATGATGTTCGGGCCGGGCGAAAGGGGGGGATTGGGAAAGGGGGGGTTACGAAATTTGCTGCATGCAGCTGGTTTCGGCCTCACCGAGGGGCCCATTCCTCGATACATAGCCGCCTGATTCTCAAACCCCCCCTTTGCTATCCCCCCCTTTCCACTGTGGTCCCGGAGCGAGCGTCGGTGCCCTTCGGGAGGAACGGTGGCCCCCGGGCCGTGCACCTTCCCAGGACGGTCTTGGCGCCCCTGCCCTGCGACTCTCCCCGCGCCCCACTCGGCCGCTCGGGTCCCCAGCGGGGGGGGGTCCCGACCAGGTGACACCTCTCAGGGTCCATGCGGTTACAGTCAGCGCGCATAGTAAGGACAAACGACTTTTTCAAGGGTACCCTTGGGTCCTTGCCTGCCTCAGCCTCTGCGGCGCGTCCCTAGCAACTGTCGCAGGCCAGAACACTTCAACTTCGGCCTCCAAGGGTCTTGCGTCCTTACCACGCGTCCTTACTACACGTTTTCACTGTAGGCGGGGCGCCAGGAGCGGCCAGGCGCAGGAGGCGGAGGGCCGGGACCCGAGGCCCGGGCGCGGGGGCGGGGCCCATTTGCGCCGGGCGCCCCCCTGACCGCGGGAGGCCCCGAGGGGGGGGGGCCGCTCATGGCTTGAGCCAGAGAGCTACGCACACACACACACGCGCACACAAGCACACACACACAACACACACAAACACACACACACACACACACACACACACAACACACACACACACAACACACACACAACACACAACACACAAGACACAACACACAACACACAACACACACAACACACACACACACACAACACACGCAACACACAACACACAACACACACACACAAAAACACACAATCTGGAGATCAAATTCTAACTTTGCCTTGATTGAAGTATAGTAAAGTCCTTCCAGAATCCCACCCAATCCGACGCAGTCCAACCTAATCCAGCGTAATCCCGCTTCGTTCGCGGCCTGATCTGGCGTAACAGCACCCCAACGGGGCTTGATTTCCTTGAATCCTTCAGACGAAGACCTCCCAGTAGTATTACTTCGTAACATTCACGCATTATCGGACGTCCGCGCGCGGCTTTTCCGCCGGCACCAGACAGCCTCTGCCACACACACCCGCGGCGCGCGAGGCGTGCCAAGAGGGCAGGGCCGACCCCAGATCAGACAAAAGCCAGGCGGCGCAGGGCAGAGCGAGTTGGAAAACGAAGTGTGGTCCAGCACGAAAACAAACCGGCGGAACCGACGGCCGCACGAGCATGCAGGTTCGAGTCGTGCACATTGCCGACAGCAGAAGGCATTCTGAACGCAGCGGTAGGCTACACCGAAGGAGAGGGAAGGGTACGACCCCCCCATTAAAGTGAAGTGCCCACCTACATGTAACCCGGACCTTGGTGACACCGAGCTCGGCCCGCGCGGAATGGGCGTGACACCTGTATTCTGGCGACGCGTTTGTCCAAGGGCTCCCTCGAGGGCGCGAAGTTATTCGCGCTTCGTGGTCCTCGTTCCTTCTCCTCCTCCTCCTCGTCCTCCTATTCTCCCCCTTGGGGGGCGGCGCGAGAGCGCGAAGTTATTCGCGCTTCGCGCTTCGCGCAGCGCGAAGCGCGAACTTAGGAGCCCTTGTTTGTCTCGGAATGATGCTCCGGCTTGCGCGTGGGCCACATCTCTGATTAAATGTGTTGTTGCCGCCTGCGCGATAGCGACATCCTTCATTGAGCGTATTTTTCTCGCCTGTGCGTGGGCCACATCTCTGATTGAAAGTGCGGCTGCCGCTTAGGCGCCAGCAACGTCCTGTGTTGAGAATGTCGTTCTCGCCTTGGCGCCAATCAAACGTCAGATTGAATAGGTTGGTGTCGCTTAGGCGCCGGCGACATTGTTCATTGAGCATGTCGTTTCCGCCTTGGCGCTGGCCAGACCTTGTCGACGGCCACATCCATGATTGCGAAAGTTGCTCTCGCTCCAGCGCCGGCCACAGTCTTCATTGGAAACGAGGAGGATTAGCAATGCATCTGGCACTGTTGCATTGCATGTTGCTGTGTCGCCCCATTTTGGTTCATCATTTGCGACAGCGCCCGCGTGACACACTGGTGTCGCTGAGCCGTTGGTCACGTTAGCTTTAACGGGTCAGATAAGCTTTTGCGCAGTGTCTACAGAGCCTAGGTCAGGTGAAGTTAAGGGTTTGCCCCGTTAGGGGGCGGTTTGTATCGACTCACGCGCGCGAAGCACTCGCGAGTATGCGCAGGGCGCGCTTTGACGCTTGTTGCCCAGCTTGCCCGCGCATTCGCTTGGCCTGGGAGAGAGGGCGGGGGATTGGGAGAGGTGGGGCTGGCGAAGTGAGTCGCGCAGCGCAACTTTCACGATCGCACTGCATGGTAGGCACCGGTAATATCTTCCAGAAGAATCATGTCTGTATGTGTGTGCGTTGTGATTCACGGGTTTCACCGCCGCTCTCATCGTTCCTCGGTTCCTCGCTTGCGTCTCCAAACGGTTGGAGTTGATGTCGTTGGGATTGTATGTCCCTCACCAGTACGTCTTCTGTGAGACACAGCGTTTTCTTGCAAGCTCTCTTCCCATTCCGCCGTGCTCACGAAAGGACAGCTTTCTCTGGATTTCTTAATAAGCGTGGGGGGTACCCCCCCGTCGGGGGTCAACCTCGCCTCGTTGTCGCGCCGCGCCGGGGTTCGGAGCGCCTTCGGCGCGCGGTGGCTGCCCGCGACGGGGGTCGATGTGGGACTTTCAACGGGGGTGGCGCCCCCCCGACGTTTATTAAGAAGCTCGGAGCACTCACACAAACATAACACATTTATAGATAAACTATGGTTGTCCACACATGCACACGCGCACGACACCATATATGTACACACAACAGATGTCCACACATTCGCGTGTGCATGCCATACGTGTGTGTATACATACATAGGTGTAACAACCCTCCGTTGCGGATGATAGTGGAAGGGTGGTCGCGGGATGGGTCGCGAGCGGGTCGCGGGCGGGTCGTGGGGCGGTTTGCCTGTGAAACGACAGCAACAAACAACACCAAGCAGAACACGCGCCGCGGATCTCCACTTCAGCCACGCACCCAGGGACAGTAAATGACCGTTCAGCTCCTTCATTATGATCTGCGTCTGAGTGTACATATACACATCACAAAAACTCACACACATCACATATCTCTCTTGCCACTGTGTATAGTTATTCACTCTCTGTCTCTCTCCTCTTTTCCTGCGTCCACTGGCGCAGGTGGTGCGAGAGATAGTGGTCAACTTGAAGGACGGATGGTCCCCCCCTCGACCTCTTCTCCGCCTTTTCGTCTTTTTGGGTCTGTTGTCTTCTTTCTCTGGCTCTCCGCCCCCGACCCCAGCTGCTCCCTTCACCCCCAATCCTCTCGCATCCCGCCTCCTGGTATCGGAAAATGGAGCATATACATAACCAGTGACCGGCTGTTTTTCAATTTCTGGATGTTTTGAGAATCGGGGACGACGTCGGGGTGGCGTGGTGTATCTGTTTTGTCCCCGTTCTCGCAGGGAAACAACGAAACATGTATACACCAGGATCCCGTATACACCAGGATCCGTTTTCTTGTGTGAATCTCACTCAGTGTGGGACCGGAAAAAAGCGTCGGTGCATTGAGCTCGGCACCTTCTGATATTCTTCCTTTTTCCCCTTCCACGTCCTCCTCCAGGGGAGGGGCGTCCTCATCCCTTTGCGTTACTCCTCGCATGTCCCTCACTCTTGTCCAGATTCTCCCAGTGTTCTTCCACCATCGCCCTCTCCGTCTATCCTCGTCCCTCTCCTCCTTAACATTCTCCGGCTCCCCCTCGCCACGCTTATTGTGAAGGCCTTACGGCCGGTGCCGCCGACCCAGGGGGACGAAGACTACGACGACCACGACGACGACGACGACGACGAAGACAACGACAACGGCGAGCTGATGACCCTGCCACGGGCTCGGGACATGGGGCGGGCGGTGGAGAGAGGAGGAGGAGGAGGAGGAGGAGGAGGAGGAGGCGGGGGAGGAGAAACCGTAGCCATTTTGGCTCAAGCCGCGTTCCCCGCATTCTCCATAGCCATTTCCGGAGATGGCGGCGCAGGAGGGCGGGAGCAGTCTGGCGGACGGGTCGGATCGCATTGCAGGCGATTCGTCGGGGCGCAGGCGCACGCGCGCCGAGCGCTCGGCAGCGGGGCAGCGGGCCAAGGCGGCGGCCGATGCTGCCGTCCTCAAGCTCACAGGCAAGCTCTCGGCAGCCGACCGCGAGATTCAGGACCTGCTGGACCAGCTGGGCACCTTGCGCATGGCGCTGAGCCGTGGCTCCACGCTTGCGGCGCGCCTCCGGATGGTTGCGCCCGTCCTTGCAGCCCAGCTCGACGGACGAACATTTACACCGTTGGCTGTTGCCCGACGGAATACGGCATCTCACAACTTCGAGGTCAACGCGGAATACCTGCTGAAGGCTTCGCAGCGGGAGCTGAACAAGCTCCAACGCACGGGGGCGCCCGCGACGGCAGGGCCGCCTGCCCGTCGCCCCCTGGCCGGCCTGGAGCGCATCTGGGAGCTCGGCCGCGAGATGCCCTTTGTGGCGCCCGGGGGCCAGATCTGGAACGTCACGGTACTTGAGAAGTACGTTTGCAAGTCTGCGCCAGAAGGCCTTGCCCAGAGCAAGGGCTTCGTCTGGCGAGCGGAGGCCCGCGAGTTCGTGCCAGCCGACCTGTTCATCCCCAGCGCGGGAACCTGGCAGCCGCTCCCGCCGCAAGCTGCTGGCTTGCGGTGCACCTGCGGCGCGATGGTGTTCTCCACGCTCTCCTCCATGCGCCTGGCAACCCAATGTTCGGGAGGGAACATGCTGGCCCTGGCTGAGCCGCTTCCCTGCACCCTTCCTTCGGCGCTGGAGGAAGAGAGCGAGGAGGCGGACTACCGCCACGGCGAGGACTTCGGCGACGAGGACGGCGTGGAAAGCAGTTCTCACGAGTCGGCCACCGACAGCCACGATAACGACGACGTGGGGAGCGACTTCGACGTGCGTCCCACCGTCACCGACGAGGGCATAGAGGACGAGGCGGAGGTCCACATAGATGCTGCCGCCCCACCATCCAGGGAGGCGCCGTGCGACGGCCCCCAGCAGCCGCCCACGGGAGGGGCGCGCTGCTGGGCTGCCGCCGCTCTTGGGCCCCCACGGGGGATGACTGCCCTGCCGCTGGCTTTCGGGCCCGTGCGGGGGAGGGCTGCCCTGCCCCTGGCCGGTGCGGCTCGCGAGGACGAGTTTGGCGGCCTTGCCGCCGCCCTCGGCGGGCTCGGGCAGGCCATCGCCGCCGTGGCAGCGGCGGCGCCCGCGCAGCCGCCGCCGCCGCCGCCGCCCGCCGACTGCAAGCAGATGTGAATCCCGTTTCTTCGAGCGGGAACGGCGCTGTACCTGGATCTGGCGGAACACATGGGACGTGGAGTCGGACGACCAGCATGGTGCAGCGCGACCCCGCGCTCGACAACAGCTTGGTCAAGTACATCTTGCTTTGAGTCAGGGCCCTGGCATATGTGCCAGACTTTCCCTCGCGTCTGCTTGCCCAGGGGGGGGGGGGGGAAAGCAGGCAGAGGAGGCGGATGAGGTGCAGGAGGAGGAGGAGGAGGAGGAGGAGGAGGAGGCGGAGGAGGAGGAGGAGGAGGAGGAGGAGGAGGAGGAGGAGGAGGAGGAGGAGGAGGAGGAGGAGGAGGGGGGGGAGGGGGAGGGAGAAGGAGGAGTAGGGTGAGGAGCAAGAGGAGGAGGAGGAGGAGGAGGAGGAGGAGGAGGAGGAGGAAGCGAAAGAGGAGGAGCACACATCTCTCTCTCTCTCTCTCTCTCTCTCTCTACATATATATATACAAGTATATGTACATATACATAAACATATATTTGTGTTTGTGTAAAAATGGGTTCAAGCAGGATCACGAGGAGAAGGAGGGGAGGAGGAGGAGGAGGAGGAGGAGGAGGCGCGGCATTTTTCTGCCCCCCCAATGCGAGTTGCTCCTGTGATCCGCTCCCGAGTGCCCCGTCTGACAGGGTAACAGTCACTCCCGACCGTCATTGCTCTCCTCTTCCTCGTCCCTCCCCCACTTCTCCGCCCCGTCCCACTGGCCCCCTTCGCTTCCTCCCCCTCCCCCTTCCCAGCTTTGGGCGTGAGGACCTCATCTTCCTGCCCGGGGACTGGATCTGTCGGTACGGCGATTATGGGGACTCCATGTATCACCGGTTGGGCCTCCCGGCACCCCGACTGCAAGGGTAAATCCAGAATGGAGGAGGAGAAGGATACATACGATAAGTCAGAGGAGGCACATGCTGATGACGAGGAATGGATCCCTTTTGTGCGGTGACCATGGGAACTCAAAGTATCATCGGGTGGGCTTTGAGAGTCAAGTACATTCGAGCCTGGAAGGGGAGGAGGAGAAGGAGGAGGACAAGCACGGGGCGAGAGAGGAATCGTATCGAATTCACATATGTTGTCATGTTGTGTGTCCTTTTGAACCTCGGAGGGGCCGCGGTGGTCTCTTGGAACCCCAGACCTCAGGCCTTCGATCTCTGGGCTCAAGGCTCAAGGATCCAGGCATGTTGACGCTTCTGTCATGCTTGGGTAGAGGAACAACAAACAGCGTAACCATAAACTTTTGGAGCTCGACGCGGATTTCATGGATCCGCGCTGGGCCCCCCCTCCCTGGCGCATGGAGCGCGTCAGGGGCGGAGGCGCAGCTAGGGGACCCGGCGCTGATCCGAGGGATCCGCCCGGACCTCTCTGAGTTTTTTGTGTTTCTGTGATTGTTTTTCCCCCAGGTTGGAGTCCCGACAGATCTTGGGAGACGTCGGGAGATCCAGATCTCGGGCAACCCGAGAATCTCGCGCCACAGTTCCGTGTGCGCCTCTTCTGCGTCCCGGGGGTGCTGCTTCGGGCCCTGGGCCCGCTGGAGCACGATCCGCGATGACAAATTGAACCCGGGGATACGATCGAGAGGCCTGGATCAAGGGATGGAAAACCACCCGGACCGGACAATTGGCGTTCACTAAACGGCCCTGGGCGTTTGCTAAACAGCCCTGCCTTGTTCTATTCCTTCTTTGGGCGCGTTTACTAAACGACTTCGCGTGTCGGGGTGGTTCTTATGGGGGTGGATTTTTTTGACTTCTACTGGAGGGGGGCCGAGATGAAGGATCGGCGGTGAGTTCGTGGACAGCTGCGCGCCTCATTCTGCAGACTGCTTTGCTTCGCGGGCTCCCGGCGGCGGAGAGCCCGGCGGGCGTCTGCGGACTGCGGCGCCCTCTTTTTGTTGGGGTGTCGGGGATCTCTCCCGAGTGTCGTCCCGAGCTGCAGGAGTGGGACTGCTTTGCATGCGGCTGCAGACGGGATGCAAGGGCTCCCACGAGGGCGCGAAGTTATTCGCGCTTCGCGGTCCGCGGTCCTCGTTCCTTCTCCTCCTCCTCCTTGTCCTCCTTTTCTCCCTTTGGGGGGGTGGCGCGAGAGCGCGAAGTTATTCGCGCTTCGCGCTTCGCGCAGCGCGAAGCGCGAAGTTGGGAGCCCTTGGGATGAGGACGACGACGAGGAGGGAGGAGGTGCAGGAGGAGGGGGAGGGGGGGGGAGGAGGGGGGAAATTTGGCGGAGGTGGGTGACGGGAGGGGGGGGGGGGGAAAGATGTTTTATCAAGGGCTCCCAGAGGGCGCGAAGTTATTCGCGCTTCGCGCTTCGCCGTCCTCCTTCCTCCTCCCCCTCCTCCTCGTCCTCCTCTTCTCCCCCTTGGGGGGCGGCGCGAGAGCGCGAAGTTATTCGCGCTTCGCGCAGCGCGAAGCGCGAACTTAGGAGCCCTTGTTTATGCTAGTTTTGTAGTTTGCTGCGTTTGGGTCTTTTGCCTCAGGACCGTTCGAAACCATTCCCGGACGGCAAGCACTGGTGTCTTGGGGTTGAATGTATAGCGGGCATCTTGCGCGCCTTTACCCTGCGAGTTAGTACATCATGGACCCCCCAGGTGGTGGTGATGGTGGTGGGCTCCCTCAGACGATAGGGGAGGGGACGGGGACAGGGTGGGGGGAGTAATCAGGTGTTGCCAAGGTGCCCTTCGGCTTCCTGGCAGGTCCAGGCGGCCTCCAGAGCCCTTCTCACGAGGCTCCGAGGGCCTCCGGAGCGCAACAACGGCGCGTTTGTTTGTTGCCGCTCCCCCCTCCCCACTGCGCCTGGAGGCCCGAGTGTACATCAAGCAGTGGCGAAGCGTCCTGGCTCGACTATAGCCCCACCAAACCTTTTGTGGTTCCCACAAGATGTTCTTAGAACATTTCTGGCGGAGACTGTCTTCTTTTAGCACATCGGGTTTATGTTCTAAGAACATTGGTTTGGTTCTTAGAACGTTTGTGGGTTCTAAAAACATTTCGTGGCATGACTATAGGAATGCCGGGACCTTTGTGGGTCTCGGAAACGGCAGGGCCGTTTTTCACCGTTTCCAGAGAAATGTCCCTTGAAAATGGAAACGGCAAAAAAACGGCGACCCGAAACGGCAACAAAAACGGCTCCAGGCTTGGAACCGGAGCCGGAACCGGTCAAAAAACGGCGACGGAACCGGCAAAACAACGGCGTCGGAACTGGCAAAAAACGGCAAAACGGAACCGGTAGAAAAACGGCTCTGTCGTTTCCAGGGCCCACTAAGGCCGGGACGGTCGGTCCCTGCTCAAGTACAGGGGACGGCGGGGGCCCATAACAGGAGATATGTCGACCCCAATCCCAGGCTTCGTGGAGTTTTCGAGTGGGCCAAAAAAATTGGGGCCCAACCCTGGGATGTACGAGGGGGGGCGTCCATCCTCAATAGGGGTGCGTCCGAATAGCCCCCTGGGGGTGTATCCCAAGGTTTCCCTCCTTTCCGAGCCGCTCCATTTTTCGTCGAAAAGTCGGGGGTCGGGATAGGAACGTCGCCTGCGAGCCCAGACGTCGGCCGGCTGGCTCGTGCAGTCCCCAGGCTGTTCTTTAGATCCGGCCTCTGGGGGGCCGCTCCCCGACCCCTGGGCCGTCGGACAGCGAGGATGACCAGCCGGCCCCAGGGAGGAGGGGGCTCGAGAGAGTTGGGGCCCAAGGATAGAAGCAATCGATCCGCCAGGGGAGGAGGGGGAGGAGGGGGAGGAGGAGGAGGAGGAGGAGGAGGAGGAGGAGGAGGAGGAGGAGGAGGAGGAGGAGCAGCAGGAGGAGGAGCAGAGGAGGAGGAGGAGGAGGGAGGAGGAGGAGGAGGAGGAGGAGGAGGAGCAGGAGGAGCAGGAGGAAGAGGATATGATGGGCGCGGATCCTCTCGGCCGGGACCCGTCCTAGAGGGCCATATGACAAGGAATTTGAAGTGTTTGTTAGCAGTGACGGCGAGGAGTGCCCCCGAAGGCCTGGACAAGCACGAGGGGGAGGAGGAGGAGGAGGAGGAGGAGGAGGAGGAGGAGGAGGAGGCGGAGGAGGAGGAGGAGGGTGGAGGAGGAGGAGGAGGAGAAGCAAGAGGAGGAGGAGGAGGAGGAGGAGGAGGAGCAGGAGGAGAAAGAGGAGGAGGAGGAAGAGTAGGAGAAAGAGGAGATGGAGAGGTGTGGCGCGCGGGGACGAGCGGCCCCAGAGTCTCCGATTCCTTCCCGGGGGGGGGTCGGGGCGAGGCCGACTGTCAGGAACAGCGCTTCGGAGCGAGACGCCCCAAAGCCTTCCGATGTGTGCGGGTGACGGAGCGGGGATCGGGGGCGGCCAAGAGGGGGGGTGATGACTAGGAGGGGTGGATATCATGGCGGGGGCCAGGATATCCCCCCAGATTTCACGGCGCCTCTTTTTGTTTCAATACGTCCCTGGCCCCCTCCCCTGGGCCGCGCACATGCCGCCGGCCATGATTTGCGCGGCCCCCCATTCGACGCCCCCCTCTTGGACGTCCCCGAGGGGACGCGGGCCGAGATGGCTCCCGCGGATTTCATGGTCACCGGGCAGAGCACGGTGATCGCCAAGGCCTCCCGCCCCCGGGGTCGGCCGGCGTTGCTGCTCCTGTCCTTCGCGGGTGCGGCCGGCTTCTCGGGAGCACGGTCGTCCTCCCGTGGTCCTCGTCCTCGTCCTCCCGTGGTCCTCGAGTCCTTGTCGTCTTCCTCGTTCTCAGGTCCTCAGTGCGGGCCTCCCGGCTGGGGTCGGAGGGGTGTGCAACACCGCCGATTCTTCGGCGGCGCGGCTCCATGTGGAGCCCGAACGTATCCACGCCGGCGGCGCCCGTACACAGCCGACGTCGCCGATGCATCGTCGATGCATCGACGATGCATCGGCGAGGCGGCGCGATCGGCCGACCCCCCATCTACGCGGACCCCATGTGGGAGGCTGCTGCCACGCGTTTACCATTGGGATCTGCAAGGAGAGGATGACCAGCCTGGAACATATCCCTATCCCTATGCTAGGCACCTCCTCATCACGATGCCAATCTTAGGGATTCCCTTATTTTTTGAGGGCGGATCCCTAAGATTGTCATCGCCTTTTGTCGGGGGAGCGTAAGACCCGGGTTTGCCGGGACTCGGGTTCGCCATCGTTTTTTGACGACCGCGACTCGGATTTTGACGAGGAGGGGTTTCGTGGGATGTCTGCAGCGGGAGGCCTCGTCAAAATGCAGGCTCGGCCTCGTCATTTTTTTGACGACCTCGTCGGGGATTTCCGAGTCCCCCGTACCCGGGTCTTACGTCTCCCCGATTTTGGCGTGTCAATCTTAGGGATACGGATACGTTCGAGGCTGGTAAGAGGACGCGGCTGGACGCGAACTGGTCCGTGATATGCCCCCTGGCGGCTCCCCCATTCGGGTGCCGGAGTGCCACGCTCGCTGCCACGCGGTGGTCATGGGGCTCTGGAAAGAGACGACCCCGAGGGGCCCCAACGAGTGTTTGACCTTTGGGCGATCGCACATCTGGACGCGAACGGGCCCGTGATATGTGCCACGCCTGTTGCCACGCGGTCATCATGGGGCTCTGAAAAGGGGATCTTGATACCCCCCGACCAGAGTTCTGCCTGCGGGCGAGTACACATCTGGACACGATCTGGCCCGTGATATACCCCCTGGCAGCTTCTCCTTGGGCCTTGGGGTGCCGAAGTGCCACGCTTGCTGCCTCGCAGTGGTCGCGGTGCTCAAACGAGGGGTCGAGAGACCGAGAGGCCCAAACGAGGGGTCGGCCTCAGGGCGGGCACAAGTCTTGACGCGAACGGGCCGGTGATATACCCCCTGCGGGCTCCCCGATGGGGGTGTTTGGGTGCAGCGCCTGCTGCCACGCGGTGATCATTGGGCTCTGAATAGAGATGAGCCCGACAGCCCCAAACAAGTGCTCTATTGTGGAGCGAGCACCAGCTTGGACGCGAGTGGGCCAGAGATTTATCCCCTGGCGGTTTCCCCGTAGGGGGCGCAAGTGCCACACCTGCCACCACGCGGTGATCATTGGGATATGCAAGTAGATGTCCGGAACCAAAGCATTTTTTCTGCATGAGAATGAACACACATCTGGACGCGAACGGGTCCGTGATATTCCACCTGGCGACTCCCCATTGGGGTGTTTGGGTACAACGCTTGTTGCCACGCGGTGATCATGAGCATGATTGACGCTGTGTATGCGTGATTGTGTTTATACCAAATCTCGAAGGTAAATTATTCTGAGTATGAGTGAGCCTGAGTGAGCGAATCTGAGAGCGAATGGGTCTGGGTGAGTGCGCCTGAGGGTGATTGAGTCTGAGGGTGATTGAGTCAGAGTGCGAGTGCGTCGTGTGGGTGTTTCAGAGTCTAGGTGAATCTGAAAGTTGATGAGTCTGGAGATGGGTGAGTCTGAGTAGGAGTGATTCAGAGTCTGGGTGGATACGAGAACTTATAGTTTGAGTAGGAGGAAACATGAGTACGAGTTGGTTTGACCCTTACTGACCTGAGTATGAGCTGGTCTGAGTACGAGTGACTCTGGGTATGCGTGAGTCCGAGCATGGGTGCAAACGAATCCGAGTACGAACGAGTACGGGTGTGAGTGAGTCCGAGTGTGATGCAGAGGGTAGGTGGAGGAGGCGGGAAGAGAGGAGGCAGATGCGTCACACTAGTAACTAGAACCCTATAGTTAGAGTATGGGGAATCAAACATACGTGCTTAAAGTGGGGGCGCGTATCAAGAGTCCATATGTGTGTTCGTCAGGGCATCCTGGGCTTCTTCGCTCCGCGAACTGCGCGGTGACTTCCCGCAGCCGTTGAAGGAGCTGCTGCGTTCAGGGTGCTCTGGGTTTCCCCTCAGGTGCACCTCGCGCACGGGTTCTATGGGCTGGGTTTCTTGCGAGGGTTTCTTGCGGCCGCGCCCGCACTGCATCAGCTTGCAGCCCGCCGAAGCCCTCACCCGTCCCCGTCACGCTGACCCAGGATGAAACGCAGGCCTTGCGGACAGGGTTGGGACCTCCGCGGCCTTGCAGTGGGAGAATCGAACAAAACATTGATCTTCGGATACTCGTCTTGGTGTTGCTGTTCAAAGTGCACCCTGGGTCTCGGCGCATCGCTTGCGTCCCAACGTTTCTGGCGTATTTGGTGGTGGCGTCACTCAGAGTCCTGGGTTCCCCTCTTTGAAGGCCAGAGGTACTTCATTGCGTTTCCTTCTCCCTCTCTTCCTCCTCACACGTCCGTATCGTTGTCGCCATCTCTCGCCTTGACGCCCGAGATACCGTGGCCCTGCATCATCTGAAAACCATGTCTCCCCCATTCTCTCTCTCTCTCTCTCTCTCTCTCCCCCTCTCTCTCGCTCGATCTCTTTCTTTTTCCCCATATCCTAAGATGGGGTTCTTGTTATTACTTGGACGCCTCCTACTCCTCCTCCTCCTTCCTCCTCCTCGTTTCTCCTCCCCTCCTGTCGGACATACTCAGACTTGCTCATAGACAGACTCGTACTCAGACTTACTCATACTCAGACCTACTCATACTCAGACTTACTCACACTCAGACATACTCATATACAGACTTACTCATACACAGACTTACTCATACACAGTATTAGTCATACCCAGACGTACACATACACAGATTTACTCATACGCAGACTTACTCATACTCAGCACCCCTAAGGGGAGCCGCCAGGGGTGGTTGCACGGGCTCGTTCGCGGCCATTTTGTGGGGATGTCTCAGGCGGTTTGCCTGTTTCTGTGCCCAACATCATTCGCTTTCGGAGCAGATTTGGAGGATGTCTCGAGCGAGGCGCTCATTTCAGCACCCCTAAGGAGAGCCGCCAGGGGTGGTTGCACGGGCTCGTTCGCGCCCATTTTGTGGGGATGTCTCAGGCGGTTTGCCTGTTTCTGTGCCCAACATCCCTCGCTTTCGGAGCAGATTTGGAGGATGTCTCGAGCGAGGCGCTCATTTCAGCACCCCTAAGGGGAGCCGCCAGGGGTGGTTGCACGGGCTCGTTCGCGGCCATTTTGTGGGGATGTCTCAGGCGGTTTGCCTGTTTCTGTGCCCAACATCCTTCGCGTTCGGAGCAGATTTGGAGGATGTCTCGAGCGAGGCGCTCATTTCAGCACCCCTAAGGGGAGCCGCCAGGGGTGGTTGCACGGGCTCGTTCGCGGCCATTTTGTGGGGATGTCTCAGGCGGTTTGCCTGTTTCTGTGCCCAACATCCTTCGCTTTCGGAGCAGATTTGGAGGATGTCTCGAGCGAGGCGCTCATTTTCACCCCCCAGGTGGGCCAGATTTTGAGGATGTCTCGATCGGTTTGCTAGTTTTGGTGGCCAGGCTCGTGGGCGCAGATTCTTCTCAGGATGCCACAGGAGGCTCCAACAGGCTCCAGGAGGCTCCAGGAGACCACATGAGGTCCCAGGAGGCATCAGGAGGCCACAGAAAGACTCAAGAGGCCACAGGATGTCCCAAGAGGCTCCAGGAGGCCCCAGGAAGCTCCAGAAGGCCTCAGGAAACCACAGGAGACCCCAGGAGACAACAGGAAGCGCCAGGAGGCCTCGGAAGGCAACAGGAGGCCCCGAGAGGCCCCAGGAGCAGGAGGCCTCAGAAGGCAACAGGAGTGGCTCCAATCCCATGTGTTTTACGTATGCTCCTATCGATTGGGCCTCACCTGGAGCACGATTCTTTGATGTTCTACGTATGTTTCTATAGATGGTCCTTCTCCTGTGTACACAATCCTAAATGTTTTACTCATGTTCCTATGTATTGGGCCTCTCCTGGGGCACGAGTCCTTGGTGTTTTACGCGTGTTCCTATAGATTGCCCTTCTCCTGTGGCTCTAATCCGCAATGTTTTATGTACGTCTGTTGCTATAGATTGCGCCTCCCCTGGGGCACGAAACCTTCCTAGGAGGTCCCAGGAGGTCCCAAGAGGCTCCTGGAGACCCCAGGAAGCCCCAGTAGGTTTCAGGAGGCCCCAGGAGGCCCCAGGCTCATGCACAGAGACGCGCTCGTACTACTGAGGCTCATTCACACTCCAATTCGTTCGCAGTTAGATTGATGTCCAGACCGTCACAACTGAAGCCCGTTAATATTCGAAAGCTCTTGCGCCTAGACATTCACGGCGGACAGGTCCATGCGAGTAGATGCACATATGGGGAGCTCCACGCAGTGAATAATTGTTTTCTCTCTCTCTCTCTCTCCCTCTCTCTTTCCCAGACATATGGCGATGTGTTTGTTCCAGTCCGCGGCCCAGACCTCCCGACCCATTCCCCATAGGCTGGTTCTCGTCCCCGCTCCACGCATGACGGCCGCTGGCCTCGCCCGCGCGACCCCGAGGTGCATGAACACAGCAATCGCCTCCTTTGTCAAGGGCTCCCTCGAGGGCGCGAAGTTATTCGCGCTTCGCGCTTCGCGGTCCTCGTTCCTCCTCCTCGTCCTCCTTTTCTCCCTTTGGGGGGGCGGCGCGAGGGCGCGAAGTTATTCGCGCTTCGCGCAGCGCGAAGCGCGAAGTTGGGAGCCCTTGATGAACACAGCAATCGCCTCCTTTGTTGTTCAAGGCAGTGTGGGTGGGTCGCGGATGGATCGGGTCGCGAATGGGTTGGGTCACGGAAGGGTCGCGGGCGATTCGGGCCGCGGGTGGGTTTTTGTGGTGGCGCCAAGAACAAGGACAGCAACAACGATAGCCCGAATCTTTTTGCAGCCACGCATTCAGGGAATTTCCATTCTTCATGTCGATTCATTTCTACCTCCACTCTCCAAGCTTACTCACTGGACCCACAGGACACCGTGTCGGAGATCAAGACGCTCGAGCGCGGAGCGAGCTTCGGTGAGGTCAGTGGGAGCACCTGCCGTTGGCGTCACCGTTGCCGTGTGGTCGTCATGGTGAGGGGGCCGGAAGGTCTTCAGCTGTCCCTGGGCGCGTTGCTGAAGTGGGAGTCCGCTGTGCGGATTGCTGTTGCGATGTATTTGCTGCGTTGCTGCGTTGTCGTCGTCGTCCTCGCCCGCGACCCACCCCGCCACCCGCCCACACTGCTTGGACGAGAGTTCGGCGCCCGCGGCGAACTTGCTCAGAGCCTCGCAGACTGCCGACGACCCCGCCGCTTCCGCACTCTCATCCGTAGCTGCGGGGAGGCCACGTAAAAGCTCATGGTCGGATTGTCGCCGGGGGTCACGGGGCTCCTGCCTCGGCCGCGCCGGCATGTCCTTCGCGCGTGCCGTGGGCTCTGAGGCAGCGGCGAGTGGCAAGGCCGGGGGCAATGACAGGGGAGGATGCGCTCAGGGGGGAGGGGCTGCACCGACCCCCGATCGCCACTCGTCTCACCACCCACCAAGACCAGCCCGAAACCCGAAGGCCTCAATTTGCCCTCCATTTCCAGTGGGGGGGGGGGTCGGGGAACATTGAGAAAACACGGATGGAACCCTTACCCCCCCCCCCACCCGAAATTCGGGTGTTCGGGTTGGGTTGGGGTGGTCTGGTAGGTAGTCATTCATCGCCCCAAGCGGCCCGAGGCCCCACCCTGCCCAGGACCCCGAGGAGATGCGCTAGCAGGGGCATACAAGGGCTCCCAGGAGGGCGCGAAGTTATTCGCGCTTCGCGCTTCGCGGTCCTCGTTCCTCCTCCTCGTCCTCCTTTTCTCCCTTTGGGGGAGCGGCGCGAGAGCGCGAAGTTATTCGCGCTTCGCGCAGCGCGAAGCGCGAAGTTGGGAGCCCTAGGTAGTCATTCATCGCCCCAAGCGGCCCGAGGCTCCACCCCGCCCAGGACCCCGAGGAGATGCGCTAGCAGGGGCATAGCACGCCGCCCTGCCGGCGCTGCACCGCCGATGCCCCGTGGATTTCGCTCCCGGAGCGGGTCTCCCCCTGTGATGTTGCCCCTCACAAGGCTTAACAAGGGCTCCCTCGAGGGCGCGAAGTTATTCGCGCTTCGCGCTTCGCGGTCCTCGTTCCTTCTCCCCCTCCTCCTCGTCCTCCTATTCTCCCTTTGGGAGGGCGGCGCGAGAGCGCGAAGTTATTCGCGCTTCGCGCAGCGCGAAGCGCGAAGTTGGGAGCCCTAGCTTAAGTCGGGCCTGTCCCCCTACAGGTGGATTTTCGACGAAAAATATAAAAAATACCCCAAACGTAGTCAAAACATAGTCCAACCATAGACTTGGGGACTATTTTTTGTTGGAATGTTTTGACCTTTTTGGTGTATTGTTGGTGGATTTTTAATTTTTCGTTGAAAATCCCCCTGTAGGGGGGCAGGCCCGACTTAACACAAGGCCGAGGCAGGGGTGCGAAGGAGGATGTGTGGGGGCGGCGCTCGGGATCATCAATGGGGACGGTAGGTCGAGGGCGCGCGAGCCTGGCCAGGCTGCCTCCGCTCGGGCGCCTGGAAATCGCGCGCGTCGCGCGAGCGCAATGCTAGTTCGTTGTGATCCTCAGAGCTCAGTCGCATGCGTTGCTGAGCTGATTGGAAGACCGCCCTTCTCCTCCTCGCTCGCAAGGCTGAACTCATTTGACCACGTCGCTCATTCCGCCTGCCCATACTGCATTGCCGTTGCTCTGTTGGCGTGCTCGTGGCGAGCGAGAAGGAGGAGGAGGAGGAGGCGGAGGGGGCCTCTCAATGGCTTCTTTGGGCACTCTTGGGGCCAAAGCGGGTCGTGGTCAAGATGCCTTTGGGGGAGGCATTTCGGTGTCGTTTGGGAGGCCATTAGGGGTTCCTCTTGGGAGCATTTTGGGACCTCTTTGGTGGCTGGGTGAGTATACTCGTGGAGGGAGTTGGGGAGCAACCCGGTACTTTCGCAAGTCCAGGCCCGCCAAGCATGCTTCAATTATAAAGCAAGACGGTAGTCTGACTCTCTCTTGGAGGAAGAGGAGGAGGAGGAGGAGGGAGGGGGAGGAGGGGGAAGGGAGGAGGAGGGGGAGGAGGAGGAGGAGGAGGAGGAGAAGGAGGAGGAGGAGGAGGAGGAGGAGGGGCAAGGGAGGCGGCGGCGGACGCTTGCGGATGGCGCTGGGTCGTGCTCTCTTGGGCCCCTCAGGGCCAGCAAGCCCCGGGAGCAAATCGCAAGCCACAGAGTTTACTCGGGGGCGGCAAAGAGGGGGGTGATTACTAGGGGGGGGTGGATATCATGGCGGGGGCCATGATATTTCCTCAGCTTTTATGGCGCATTTTCTTATTTCATTACGTCTCTGGCCCCCCCGCTGGGCCGCGCACATGCCGCCGGTCATGATTTGCACCCCCCCCTCTTGGACACCCCCCTCTTGGCCGCTCCCGAAGTTTACGAACTGGGCCACGGGATGGCCTCGGAGTGCCACGCAGCGACGCGTCTGCGCCGTCCCTCTCTCTCTCTCTCTCTCGCGGGCCGCGGCTCGAGTCCAGCCGTTCGGCTGCGAGCTGCACGTGGGTGAGCAGGCGGATGGGGGAGAGGAGGGCGAGCGCGCCTTCGCGGCGACTCCGAGGCCGCGGCGGGCGCGGCCTCCTCCGGGCCCCTGGGCCTGGCCGCCGCGTCTTTCCCGCGGCGAGGGGGTCCCCGGCGGGCAGCGGCGGACTCTCGGCAGGGCCTCCGCAGGGAACCTCTCGGGAGCCTGGCTGGGGCCAGGATTAGGCCGGGCCTGTCCCTCTACAGGTGGGATATTCGAACACAGTTTGAACATCGTATGGGGACGGTTTGTAGCATGTTTAAATATATTTGCTGCATGTTTAAAACTGTTTAAGACTATTTTTCATATTCCGTCCAAAATCAGCCTGTAGGGGGACATGCCTGACCTAAGGCCAGGAGCGGGACCAAGGGAGGAAGGAGCGGGAGGAGGGGTGGGGGGGGGGTCCCACCTCCACCTCTCAGGGTCGGACTTGCGCGTTGTCCCTCCAGTACTGGCGAAGTCGGGAGCTTCCCAACAGCCTTCATTGTCGGACCAAGGCAACAACGACTATCTGACTGCAACATCATCATCTTGTTCGTCCTGCACAGTCGAGGCGTAGTCAGCTCCATAGTTGTCACACGCTGCTTGCTCTATATATATATATATAACATGGCTTGCATGATAGCTGCACGTTGAATACTACTGGTCCTGAAAGTCCCGTCCACATGTTGTCCTAGTAAAACAGAGGGTGGTCTCTTTCCGTGGTTGCAGAAACCATCGTTGGTGGCCGTCAAGGGGCCGTACACTGTTGGGAGTCTGAGGGCGAGGATTCGAGTCGAAGCTTTGCCATGAGAGTTGGGATCATCAACTTGATGCGTACATCGGTCGACTGTGATCGCACTGACAATAGGACAACATTCTAGAGCTTTGAGGGGCATGCAATGGAAACTTGACGGCGCCTGCGGCCTCCACGGTACTGGTGGTGGATGCTTCATGCACCCACACCTGCCAGCACGAACGTGCTCGGCCAAAAGCTGCGACATAGTGAAAAGGTTGTCCACACGAAGCTGCTCACGCTGCCGGCTGGTGCACCACGGAACTCCCCACGTATGTTGGTTCGTTCGCAATGGGCAGGGGGGCCCGTCGTTCCAGCGAGCAGCATTCCACGTCTCGCAAGGGGGCCCCCCCGAGTAGCCCAAACCCGTTGGCACCGTATGTGGTTGGACCAATATCCGATCGTTTCCGCCCGTGTCAGATCCCCCCGTATGTAATCGATGGCATTATCTATCGATAGTACGGTTATCGTAAGTTCCTTTGTGTTCTGCATGTCGGCCAGGTGCCATTGGATGTCACTCTGGCGCCTCCGCAGAAAAGATGTGATATGACAATTTCGGCTCTCCGAAGCCGATACGGCAAACGTATTGTCGCGATACCGTCGAAGCCGTGAACCCGAAAGACGTAGTATCTATCGTCTGCTGGAAGTTGTTGTGGGTCCCGTGGGGCTTCTGTGGTGGGGGCTTGCCAGGACTGCATGAGAGTGGGTAGGGCCTCCTCGGAGAACTCGTAGTGGGTCTCTCTGAGCACCTCCCTGGCCTCCTGCTCGCTGAAGTGTGAGAAGACCCAAGCCAAGCGGACTCCCATGTCATGCCTCCTACCCCCGCCGACGCTGGATATATCCGACCTTCCGACCACATCTACTCGGACCTTGACCTCCACAGGATCCGTTTCGACCGATTCGGCTCGACCCCGTATAGGTTGAATATCCAAGTGCATTACCGATTCTTGGTTCCCATCGCTTGTCCGACGCTTTTTGGTTCGGTTTGCTGGGGGACCGCTCGAGCCAGTCGAGCCCGCGTGATTCAGATCTGGCTCCTCCCCCGCGGTAGGTCGCCTTGCTCACTGGCGTTCCGCGCACGGCGTACGTGCGCGCGAACACTTTTTGCATCACGGCGCACCTCACCAAGGAGGGTTTCGAGCCCATCGTGCACAAGTGGCCCGAAGAGATCGATGTGCTTCTCAGCGGGATCGAGGCGGAGGCCGACCGGCAGAAGATCAAGGAGGAGGCCACGAAGCATTACAGGCTCCCGAAGAAGGAAATTCTGTATGAACGTAAGTTTTGGTATGTCTGCGCGGATTTCTTGGATCTGTCGGACGGGGCTAGGGCGAGGATAAGAGCGTTCCAGGACGAATCCATGTCCTTTCCAGAGCTTTCCAGGAAGCTCTCAGAGCGTCCCGGAATGCTCTGAGTAGGCCGCGAAGCCCGAAACATTCTCCAGAGCAGCCAGATCTCAGAGATTCTTGATTTATCTTCTCCTGATCTTATCTTCGTCTTGGCTTCGTCTTAATCTGTGCTGGACCCCCCCTCCCTGGCGCGCGGAGCGCGCCAGGGGCGGCGCTGGCGGCGCCGCCAGGGGGGGCCCAGTGCCGATCCGAGAAGTCCGCGCGGGCCTCCAACCGTTCATGACCATCCTGCTTTTTGTTCGCCTAGGCTCGACGGTCGCCCATCGTGGAGCCTGGAGGAGGAGGGGGAGGAGGAGGAGGAGGAGGAGGAGGAGGAGGAGGAGGAGGAGGAGGAGGAGGAGGGAGGAGGAAGACTTTCGCACAGTGGTGGTTGCCGCGTCGTGGGAGCTGTCGTGGCCGCGTTCTCCTTCCCCCCCCCCCGCCGACGAAAACGGATCCAGGCTCGGCGGTCGCCGGCGCTCCTCGCTGAGCAGCTTCGGCGTGCCCTCGCCGCCGTCGGGTGCCCACCGCGGCGCGGGGCGGCTCTCGGTGGGCGCCTCGGACCTCACCGCCCACCAAGCCACCCCGACAGTACACCTTAGGCGATGCTTAAGAAAACCTAAGTTTTCGGCCAGAGTCTTGATTATTCTTAACTTGTCAATGTAAATCCCAAGATTTTGATAGAAGTTCTGGGTTTTATTCCAGTTCTGAGACTCTGAATTTCTTAACCCATGGTTTCTTAAGCATTTCGCAGGGTGTACGTCGGGCCTGTCCCCCCACAGGGGGGTTTTCGACGACAAATACAAATGACCCCTAAAACAGTCCCAAAAAAGTCCAAACATAGTCTGGGGGCTGTTTTTGGAGTACGTTTTCGCCTTTTTGGGGTATTGTTGGGGTATTTGTTGCTTTCATCGAAAATCCCCCTGTAGGGGGACACGCCCGACATAACCCCAACCCAACCCGCAGGCCTCCTTTTGCCCTCCATCTCCAGTGTGTGGGGGGGGGTTCGAGGAGCATGAACAAACACATATGAACCAGAACCCCCCCCCAACCCGCAATTCGGGTCTTCGGTGAAGTCGGGCCTTTCCTTCTAAAGGAGGATTGTTCAAAAATAATCAGAAAATTGTCCAGGGACGATTGTTTGACGTTTTTGTTGTTTGTTTGTTCTTGTTGGTGCACGTTTGAACTATTCTCGATGCTTCGTCCAAAATCCCCCTGTAGGGGGACAGGCCCGACCTACGTCTTCAGGTTGGGCTGGGGTTGTTTGTTGGGCAGTCAGGACCCGGGCGGCGACCACGCGGGCGGCGGGCCCCTTGGCGCGCCGGCGAGCCTGCCTGGCGGCCTCGACGCCGCCCGCCGCTGGGCCGGCGAGGGGCCGCGGCGCCGCTCGTCCTCGTCGGCAAGCCTGGGGGCGCTGGAGGAGCTCAAATCAGGGGCGGCGATGGGGAGGGGCGGCAAAGAGGGGGAGGAGGAGGAGGAGGAGGAGGAGGAGAAGGAGGAGGAGAGGAGGAGGGAGGAGGAGGAGGAGGAGGAGGGAGGAGGAGGAGGAGGAGGAGGAGGGAGGAGGAGGAGGCGGAGGCGAGGGAGGCGGAGGAGGCGGAGGCGGAGGCGGAGGCGGAGGAGGAGGCGGAGGCGGAGGCGGAGGCGGAGGCGGGGGCGAGCGGAGGAGGAGGAGGAGGAGGAGGAGGAGGAGGAGGAGGAGGAGGAGGAGGAGGAGGAGGAGGAGGAGGGGGAGGGGGAGGGGGAGGGGGAGGGGGAGGAGGCGGAGGAGGAGAAGGAGGAGGAGGAGGAGGAGAAAGATGAGAGAGACAAGCAAGAATGCGTCCAAGGCGCCCGATCGCAAACGCTAAGAAAGGAAGAAAGGAGGGGAGGGGCCGACAACCGAGCCGCTATCGCGGCGGCTTGCCCTCCCGCATCCTCTGGACAGGCCGCGAGGCACGATCGGCGACCCCCGCCGAGGCCGACCCCTCCCCCGAAGCAGAGCCGACCGCCCCCACAAGGTTAGGCTCTCCGTCGGTGGGGGTCGGCTTCCGGCTCGAGGCCCCAACAGGGGCCTCCGCCGAGCCCTTGGGCTCAAGAGCAGACTCCTCGAGCAGCCTGTCGGCCGCCTTCAGCGCCGCACGGCCCCCTTCGGACAGAACCAGTTCCCAATCGCCGGGGCCCCGCCCAAAAACTTTCTTCGCTTTTTGGAGGTCGAACGGGGCAGGACGGCAACGGGCGGCAGCGGAGGCAAGGGTGCGGAGTCCTGTTTCGGTTCTGGTGAATGTGCCACATCCACGACATCGCCACTCCCTTCGGGTCTTGTTGTGCCCGAGGTTGTGACCACCAGGTCCAGAAATAGAGACAAAAGGTGCGCACAGCACGGGCTGGGGGGGGCCCGACGAAACCTCCGACGAGCAGAGACCAAACTCAAGCAGGCGCCCCTCAGCCCATGCCAGAAAAACAAAAGAAATCCTGGTATGCCTTCAGGGCCAGCCTATGCAAATCAGCCGTCCCGCGGCCGACCGAGTCACACGAAACCCCCAGTTTTGCAAAGAAATCTGCCCAGGCGTTCCTTAGGACATAACAAAACGGAGGGCCTTGCTCAGGCCCTAGGCAAACAGCATCGTCGAGGTCCTTCTTGGTGGGGCACCAGTGCACAACAGGGCGGGCCCTCCCCCCCGAGACTCAACCACGGCGTGGATCTGCCTCCACACTGACGCGCGATTGCGCCTGCTGAGCTGGTGGCGACAGAACTCCATTCATGCGCCTCCTGGGCAACGCCAAGAAGGTCCGCGACGACAATCTCCACAGACGGCAACTTTTGCAACGCTCGCAGCATGGCCACACCCTCAGTTTCGCTGACTGTCTGGCTCGGCCCCGCCAGCCACCCATAGCAGGCGCGCAGCGGGAGCCCTGCGTCAGACACCTGGACAAAAGCCCATCCGCAACTGCGAATTTCTGGCTGGTCAGACCACCTCCCCGAGCCGTCCGTGAACACGGCTCGGGGGTGTGGTCCAATCGCCCCACCAGGAAATCGGTGGATCTCGAGGTGGCTGCTCTCGCGGGCCTGGCAGCAGCGGCATGCCCACCGAAAGCTCAGAACTGTGACGGTCAGAAATCCCTCGGCGCCCGATCGGGCCCTGGGCCAAAACAAAAACTCGAATTTTCACTTGGGCCTCTGTGATGGGCACCTCCTCTCCGTCAAGAAGTGTCTCCCGCAACGCAGGGCACTCCAAGAGAAGGTGGCCTACAGACTCGCATGGGGCCCCGCATCCCCGACACTTTGGATCGAGCGCGCGCCGGACAGTGCGCAATCGATCTTTCCGCCGCCAGGAGTTGGCCCACAGGGGTCGAATGATCCCAGCCGGCTTCGGGGTCTTGAGCGCGGCCTCTTTGGACTCGACCGAAGCTCGGATCCCGCGGGGCCAAAACTCGCAACCGACAGGAAAATCAAGGAAGTGGGTCTGGATGCTACGCGTCTGCCACCTCTGGGCGCCAGCGCGCAGCAACTGAACCACGCGACGAGGGTCGATGTGCAATGACGAGTAAGACCCCCCAAGGTCAGACCGCACAACTAACGGCGACTCCATCGACCAATCGACCCTCATCAAGGACAGGCAAACTACCGCCATGGACCCAGACGCGCGCTGCCGCGCAAACGTCTCCGCTTGCTTGTCAGCAAGGGCCCTCCGCGCCCGCTCTAGCAGCCAACGCGAAGCCGTCTGCGTCCACCCAACATGGGCATAGTGCTTGCAGGGGGCCAGGGTGGCGTCGTACATCGGATCGTGCAATGGGTCGGGCTGGGTCGCAAGGTAGACCGCAATGGGCCCCCCGCGACCCTTGGCGCCCACGAGGGCCCCCGCAGCAGCTCGGAGCCTACGGAGCTCGGTGTCAGTCGCGCCCGGAACTCCACAGCTGCGACTCGCCCAATGGAGGCAAACCAGTTCTCCAGAGACGCGAAACCTTGTTACCTACAGCTCTGCTCAGAGGAAACGTCCGACGCATTCGAATCTGCAGCTTGGCAAGGTGGGCCCTTGTGATCGGTCCCTTCCGACCACGCCCTGACAGCCCATGTCCGAGTTTGCGCGCGTTGCGCTTGACCTCGGGCCCAGCCCCACTAGCCCGACGGCGGGAGGCCCGACGGACAGCGCGGCTGCCAGCTACGCGCCCCGACTTGCCGGAGGCCGAATTCTGAAGCACAGCGCCTAACTGCATCACCTCTGCCTTAAAGTTGGCCCATGCATTCCAGAGATTCTTACCCCCCCCCCCCCCCCCCCCCCCCACACACCCCACCACGCCGCGCACCCGCCCCCGCCCGCCCACTGTGTTGCGAGGTCGTCTACCAAGGCCCATGGCACGACATCGCGCAGCCTGGTTCTGCGCGCGGCACGCAGCGTGAGGGGGGCGAGGAGGGAGGTGGAGTGCGAGCATCCAGCAAGGAGCCCCTTGCCATGAGACAAGGGGCTCGGGATGTGAGACAAAGGCTTTCAGTGCCCGCGGTTGACAGTGGTATTCCAGCACCATCCACATTAGCCGCAGTGGAAGCCCATGATGTCGGGCTTCGCTGAAAACTTCACAAGGACTGGTGGGCTCGTAGCACTTCCAAGCATCAACCGCAGCAGTCGCAGTATGCCAGCCCAGCAGCGGCGTCATCTTTGCATACACGTTGCGCTCAAATGCCGCAGCCGTCGAGCTCCGTCCATCACCGCCTGCGCCCAAGACTTCGCTCATTTCGGGACTGACAATCCATCGCCTCGATATGGCGCTGCGAGCACGCGCCCAAAGCTTGAGCAGAGAGTTGACAAGCGCTACAAATCGAGACCCTCCGCTCTCTTTGGGTCGCCTGACCTATGGCGGCATCCATTCGGTTGTCTGGCCAGCAGACCCAATATCTGAGATGTGCCGCAAGACTCGTGGTGATATATGCGTCCGTCTGCCCAGCTGCCGTAATCCCCCTGAACTCTTAACGCGCCGGCCGCGGGACATCGGCTGCCATCTCTGGCAATTGGTCCCATTTGTGAGAACCCGAGGGCCCGTGGAACTGCGTGACCCCGTGTTTGGTCCAAGTTCGTTTCCACTCGCACATCTCTTTACCAACCAATACGTGAGGACTTGCCATGGTGGTTTGAACCAAGACTTTCTGCAGCACGTGGACACGGGTAAAACGGTGAGCCTTGCTGGCCCCATTGCCCAGCGATTCCCGAGTCCAAGCCTCCCAAGCCCTAGACTGTTCACATTCAAACTTGAGCCTTGCATCATTCGCCTCCCTCAAGAACCCCCCCGTGCAATCATGCGCAGTATTGCCCAGCCACATTTCAATGCCGCGCCTAAGGACCGACTGCAGCCCAGGTGGGGGCAGAGGCACTGGCGGCGGTCGGCCCACCTTGCCACGGAAGCGTCGTAGTTCCATGACAATCTGCAACAGCTGCGCGGTCTGAGCAACCGACGCAGCGCGCATCAGATTCGCCGCCATCAGCTTCTGGCCCCTGTCACAGAACAAATGCCATGTATACCGTCCATGCTTCAACCGTTTAGTTGCAACTTGCAAGGTCGCCGTCTCCTTGCCCTGATAAGTACGACGCCGTCGCGGGTGCCACTCCCGCTTGGACAGCGCAAAAGTCACGGGCTGTCCCCGTCCAGCATGAGCGACTCGCTCACCTTGTGAATGGTCCCATCAGTCAGGATGGCATGGGCGACCTGGCCCCAAGCACGCCGAAGTCTTGCCTGGTCCTGCGCAGCGCCCACGCAACGGATGGCCACGCGTCGCCCGACGTCGAGGAGAGCGCGCAGCTCCCATCGGAGCCCTGGGTCGCCAGCCGCGGGGCTCACGCGGAACATGTACCCAATATCCCACATCTTGCAGTAGCACAGGAAAATGCACGGGGAGGCGAGGATACGCAGCCGCCTCCTGATGCACATACGTTTGCGATATGCGCGTGACCGAGTTGATACATATGACATCATCATCGATGGTCGTGCCAGCAACTTGGACGCAAGTCATGTGACGAGGAACAACACGCAACCCATGAAATCCCTGAGACCAGCCTGTCATCAACACCGATGAGTCCATGTTGAAACCACCAAGACAGATCCAATCCAAACGTAGGGAATCTAGCACCATGAGATGATGCTGCAGATGTGCTTGTATATAGGCATTATCTCATCCAACCCCACAGAGTCAGAATAGTACGCCGCCACAACCACCAACCCATCCTTGAGACCAAAATGCACACGCACCGCACCCAACCTGCCCAGTGCAACGTCTGCCTCGAAACATCGAAATGTGAGACTTCGCTAGCACACACACACACACATCGCCTGACGTCCCACCAGCTTCCGTAGGAATAGCCTCCTGCCAGATGCCGCGGTACCCCAGGTCATTGACCTGGCCCTGTAACGTAGCGAGCTTCGGCCCAACATCATGATGTTCTTGGACCGCAATGATGCCGCTGGGAGGCCCAGCAGCCAAATGCTCGACGAGAGGGCCACCGCTGGATGCATTCACGGTTGTAATCGTGCCCTTGATGCCGCACCCATCGCTGTTGTCACGCAAATTGCGCGAGCGTCCTGACGTTGTTCTTCTCTGAGCTGCATCGAGCGCCAGTGGGGGGGGGAGAGCTGCCGTAGACGATGCCACCTGCGGCGAAAAAGGGGTCGTCGACGCCACTGCCGCCGACTCGTGGGACAGTCCCTGAGCACTCATCATCACACTCGCAAAGATGAGCACTCGAGCCAACATGCCACCACAGCAATTGGGATCAATACGGCGACCAGTGCTTGACTGCGTGCACTTTCGCGGCCACGGAACGGAGGTCGGCGTCGCCCTTCGGAAAATCCCCCGTGACATCACATTTCTTCAGATTGGTGCGCAGCAAAGCCGCGCCACAGTTGTCGAAGCCAGGGGCGCCGGGTTCATCGACGGTTTCGATATCCGCCGCACGAGGCCGCTTCGCCGCAGGCGGTTCATCGTGAGAGGCCTCGTCGCGTCCGCGCCTGGGTAGTAGCAGCTGCTCCACCAGGAGGTTGGACTTGACTGTGGCCACCAGCTCGCCAGAGACACCAGCAGCTTGCAGGACCCTGTCCAGCACGTCCTGTCTGACTTGTCCACCTGCTTCGCGTTCCGAGTCGGGATCAGGAGGCTGAGCAACACCGCTACCCAAGGCCCGTAACCGGCCCTCGAGGTCGGTGATCGAACAGCGCTGCGCCTCCAGCTTCTCCCCGTACTGCCTGACCGCCCCCTGCAGCTTGTCGAGCTCGTCCTTCTTAGCCTGGCTAGCTTCGGTGAGCTTCTCAAACTTGGAGTTCTCAATCTGCAACTTAGTGGAGAGCTGTCGGGTCTGGATGCTGACTGGCTGCTTGGAGCGACGCAGCGCCACGCACTCAGCTTTAGCCTTCGCATGCTGCTCTGCGATGGCCTCCATCCCAACAGTTCCAACACGCGCAGCGTGCATACGCTCATAGACTTCGATATGCGCCAGCAGTGCCTTGTCGCCGTCCTCGTCCACAGGCCGCGTGGTGCCCACCTCCAGCTGAGGTTGCGCACCAGGTGCCGTCGTACGAGCCCGCTGCCGACGAGGCTCCGCGACCTCGGCCTCCAGCTCCGCGAGGTGCTTGGACTGGCCCGCCATCGCTGGTCCAATCCCCACGTGCGCGACGGAGCCAAGGGGCGCGGACCGACGGGGACTCGGGCTCAACGGCACGGAGGAAGCAAGAACCCTTACGCATGCAGCCGCATCCGTCCTTGGCCCTCCTCGAGCAGTACATGCGCCAGCCGGCATTGACCGAAGGCCAGACCGCTGAACACAATAGCGGCATTGCCAATCCTCTTTCTCCTTCTCGGCATCGCGCCCTGCAATGTGGCCTTGGGTTTGCGCCCTGTGGTCGCAGCGTGAAAACAGCAGGCGGCAGCGCGAAGCTCCCCGCCTGCAGGAACTGCGGTCCCCCTGTGAGGCCGAGAGCTTAGGAGCCTTGACCCGCTCCCTTGGCTGCAACCAAGCTCCCAGCGCGGGAACGACTTTGGGAACTTGAGCCACAATGGCTATGGAGGGAGGGAGGGAGGAGGAGGAGGAGGAGGAGGAGGAGGAGGAGTGGACCCCGGGAGGAGAAATCGGACATCGAGTTTGAAAGGACTGGTCGAGGCGTCGAGTTTTTGCTGTTGGTTCCAGCCTTGGTTGGGCCTCCCTTTATCGGGGGCGGCAAAGAGGGGGGTGAGGATTAGGGGGGGGGAATATCATGGCGTGGGCCATGGTATTTCCTTAGATGTCATGGCGCTTCTTATTTCCTGGCTTCCCTGCCCCCCCCCCCCCCCTGGGCCGCCCTGGGCCGCGCACGTGCCGCCAGCCATGATTTGTGCCCCCACCCACCCCATCCCCCAACCCTTCTTGGACGCTCCATTATTTGCGCCCCCCCCCCCCCTCTTGGACGCTCCCTTCTTGGCCGCCCCTGAGATAGGGAGGGGGTACTCCGAGTTTCTTAAAATGTCTTAAAATGCGTCGGGGGGGCGTCACCCCCGCCGGCAGCCCCACATCCACCCCCGTCACGGGCAGCCACTCTGCGCCGAAGGCGCTCCGACCCCCGTCGCGGCGCGACGGCGAGGCGAGGCTGACCCCCGTCGGGGGGGTACCCCCCACGCGTGTGAAGAATCCCAGAGTAGGCATAGGGTGGGGCCCTCAGATTCTAGGCCTCCTAGATGGGGTCCGAGCAGATGGGGCCGGAGGATCGCGCCGCATCGCCGATGCATCGACCATGCGGGTCGATGTGGAGCCCGTGCTTCCCAACGCCGACGTCGCCGATGCACTGCCGATGCATCGCCGATGTATCGGCGATGCGGCGCGATCCTCCGACCGCATCTACGCCGACCCATCTATCAGGAGGGAAAGAAACACACAGACACAATTAATCGTCGACTCCCCGGAAAATATGCAAAAATATGGGAAGTGGGGGGAAGACAAAAGCCCCCAAAATATGGGAAAATATGGGGAATATTTTTATTTGTGTGTATTTATTTGTGTGTCCTGGGGCCCCTTCAATCTAGGGGGCCTGTAAGTGGGGTGGGGCCCGGAGATCCGGGCGTCCCTGCGGTTTCGAGGCCTGCGTTTTCGCCGAACCTCGGGCCCCAGACCCCTCACAGATCGATCGGGAAGATGGGGACGTCGGATCTCAGGGGGCTGCATCGACTGCCAATCGCCCATGGATCGCCGATGGGGGCACGATAGCCCTGCCCCGCTCCCGCCCCGTCCCGCTCCCGCCCCGTCCCTTTCGGGTCGTGCCCTTGCCTCGCTCTCGCCTGATGGGGCCTCCTCGGAGGGCCTCGTCGACACGGCTGGATTCGCCATGAAATTCTGGTCATAAGTAGAGCAGGGGATCGTCGCCCCCGAAGTGGATCTTGTTTGCCGAATCTGCGAAAACACGAAGATTGCTCGTAGATCAACGGAGCGATTCTTTTTCCTTCGTATATTCGACTGACAAATCACTTTCGGGGTAACAGAAATTCTGTAGTCGATCCCCTACTCGAATACTGCACCCCAGGAGTGGTCTGGGGAGTAGCGGTACATGGGTAAGTATCTCTTCGTTCCCCCAATCTTCGCCGCGCCCGGGGAGGAATTGAGAAGGGGCATGCGTTCTCAGAAGGCGGCTGGGCTTCCTCAGAAGTCTTCCGGCCTTCTCGGAAGTCGTCTCTGCCTTCGGACAACGGAGTCTCGGGAAACGTCTCAGAAGGCCAGAGGCTGTCCGAGCCTTCTAACATTAAGTCGGTCCTGGTCCTCCACAGGAGGAAGATTGAAAAATGGTAAAAAAAATATTCTGACGACGTATTTTAGAGCATGTATTGAATATTTTCGGGGCATGTCTTACTTTTCGTACGAAATCCGCCTGTAGGGGGACAGGCCCGACCTAATTTTAAGATGGCATGCCCTGACTTCCCAGACCCCCGCCTTCATGATCTGTTCATTACGTCGACCCCGGATATCTCGATCCGTCTGTCCATCCTGAGTCGTGTTTTGTCTGTCCCTGGGCCCGACAAGGGCCCCCGTGCAGAGGCCGTCAGTACCGACAAGCCGTCCGTCGTGGATTCTTCATGTTCGAGGGGGTCTGGGTCTTCCTTCCACCCTTAAGCTCGCCGCCGACCCAGAGGAGCCCCTCTCGCCACTCTCGCCGCTCGCGCCGGCCTCTCCAGCCTCGCCGCCGGCGCCCGCCTGGCGCGATCCGCTGCCGCCCACCACCAGGCCCAGGAGTGAAACAAAGGCACGGACGCAAACAAACGCTGAACGGGTATAGCCAGGACCCCGGTTAAGGGAAGCCGGTTAGTGATTTGGCCCCGAAGCCCAAAATATGGATTGGAATCATTGAGCCAAGTCTGCCGTAGCTGGTGTTTTTCGGGTGACGGCAGTTCCGGTTAGTAGAATGGGGCGGGGGGGGCGTTCCCCAGTACACATCACTAAACCAGGTCCCACTAAGTAAACCCAGTTCTGCCAACGCCCGAGCTGAATTCTGTAAGGGTATGGGGAAGTATGGAACATGGAGGGGAAGAGGAAGACCAAGGAAACATGAAAAGGTGCTGGTGGAGCCATGCTTCCCGACCGTGCACACGCATGATGAGTAGTCAGTTCGGCCCAGAAGAGCCCCGCAAGGGACGAAACGCCAGCCCGATACTGAGAACACCTAGACGCTTGCATCCGAGAGCTTTCCATCGTGCAGCCTGATTGTTGTCTAAGCTTGATCCGAGCATGGAAGGGGAAGAGGAACACCCTGGAAGCTCAGAGCGTGAATTACCTACCCCGCTTTCGCTTCCAGGCAAAACCAAGTCAGACCACGCGCCTCCTCGTCAAGCGGCCTGACCAGTACAGGCCGTAGTTTGGCATCGCTCGGTATCTCTTGGAAGCGAGGGTGGTCAAGAGCGAGGTAGGTTTATTTGCCCCCTGGAAGCGTGGGAACAGCTGGGGACTCCTGGAGTGTGTGCCGACTGACTCGTGCAGGCCCCCGCTCGCCTGGCCCCACGGGCCGGTGCAGTGCGCGCCTGCGCAGGGGCGGCTGGCCAGCGGCGAGGCCTCCACGGAGACCGGGCGGCCGCGGGATGAGCGCGGGCTGCTCGTGGTGGACGAGCTGCACGAGCAGGCGTCGCAGGTGGCCAAGGCTTGGAGGATGTGGACGCCCGGGATGGGTACGGAAAGAATGGGTACAGTGCTCAGCAACAAATGTTGTCCCGAGCCAACAGCGGCCGCTGTTGGGCAGGCGGCCTTCTGTCTCAAATGGACACAGGCCGCGGCGACACCGACAGCGAGTCCTGTTCAGGATGAACAGGACCTGCTGTTGGGCATTGTACCCATTCTTTCCGTACCCATTTCTGGCGTCCAAAGAGGAGGGAGAGGTACCTACCTTCCCTTCGTGCTCGCCCCTTCGGGCCTCTTGGGAAGCCCTCGTCGCCCTGGCTGGGTTCCCTGCAGTCCCGGTCGCAGCACACCCCAGGAGAGGTCCAGGGAGACCGAGTATTAGATGGGGTCCGAGCAGATGGGGTCAAAGGATCGCGCCCTCTCGCCGGTGCATCGGCGATGCGGCTCGATGTGGAGCCCGATTTTCTCCGCGCCGACGTCGCCGATGCATCGACGACTTCGACGATGCATCACCGATGCATCACCGCTGCATCAGCGATGCGGCGCGATCCTTCCGAGCCCATCTGCTTGGGCCCAATCTGGGAGACCTCTGGAGGCTCTGTCGGACTTGTCGGCCGACATGCTCGGGCACCGGCAGTTCGTCGACGAGGTCTTGGCGGAGCAGCGCCGGGCGGTGATGGAGACGCTGGCCACGCGCGAGTCGCTTCTGGAGATCACCGAGCGCGTTCCACGACTCGCAAAGTGCCTGCTCGCAAACGTCCGACAAAAACACATGTCTGCTCTGATGTAATTTATTGCAGATCCCCCGCGGGGGATCCAGGCCATTTGCGAGTACAGTGCAGTTTTTGATACATGCTCCGCGTGCGGATCATGTATTAAACATGCAGGGATTTAGTACTAAAAACACCGATGCGTTCATGCATAACTTGATTCATACATTGATCATGTATTAGAAATCCCATGTTTTTAAAGATCCTGAAAAAATTAAAACCTGCCCTGTAGTCACTCTGCGAGCAGTGGCACGCGCCCGTCCAGGAGAGCAGCGCCGCGCAGAAGTCCCCCAAGGGGGGCGTGGTGGTGCTCTGAGCGCGCGCGTGGCGCGTTCGCGGTGCCTGCGCCGCCGTGTGCGCGCCTCGCCGTCCTCGTCCTTCCGGCCCCCCAAGTGTGATAATCGGGGGGCGGCAAAGAGGGGGGTGATGACTAGGGGGGGGGGTGATATCATGGCGTGGGCCATGATGTTTCCCCAGATCTCATGGCGCCTCTTCTTGTCTCATTACGTCCCTGGCCCCCCCGCTGGGCCGCGCACATGCCGCTGGTCATGATTTGCCCCCCCGCCTCTTGGACACCCCCCTCTTGGCCGCTCCCGGAACAAGCGTGGAAAAGAACACATGTGTGAAACAGCCAGTGTGATTAGCAAAAACCCAAGTGCGATGTCACATTTGTTGTTTCATCGCACTTGTGTTTCCCCATATCCTAAGATGGGGTTAGTGTGATTGCTTGGACGCCTCTTTCGCCTTCCTCCTCTTCTTCTCCTCCTCCTCATACTCGGGCTTTCTCATACTCGGACTTACTCATGCTGAGACTCACTCATACCCAGACTTACTCATACTCAGACTCGTTCCCAGACGTATTCATACACAGACTTACTCCTATTCAGACCTACTCATACTCAGACCTTCTCATTGTCTGATTTACTTTCAACACACAGCAGATTGTCAGGATGTCTCAGGCGGGGCAATGGTTTCAGCACCTCCGACGGGAGCCGCCAGGGGTGTTTTCACGGTCCCGTTCGCAGCAGTTCTGTGGGGATGTCTCAAGCGGTTTGCTTGTTTTCTGTCTCAACATCCTTTGTTTGGAGAGCAGATTGTGAGGATGTCTCAGGCGGGGCGCTTGTTTCAGCACCCCTAAGGGAGCCGCCGAGGGGTATGACACGGTCCCGTTCGCGGCCATTTTGTGGGGATGTCTCACGTGGTTTGCTTGTTTTCTGTCTCAGCATCCTTGGCTATCAGAGCAGATTCTGAAGAAGTCTCAGGCGGGGCGCTGGTTTCAGCTACCTGAGGGGAGCCGCCAGGGGTGTTTCCACGGTCCCGTTCGCAGCAATTTTGTAGGGATGTCTAAGGCGGTTTGCCTGTTTTCTGTCTCAACATCCTTGGCTATCACAGCAGGTTCTGAGGATGTCTCAGGCGGGGCGCTGGTTTCAGCACCCCTAAGGGCGCCGCCGAGGGGTATGACACGGTTCAAACTCGTTTGTTTGGAGAGCAAATTGTGAGGATGTCTCAGGCGGGGCGCTTGTTTCAGCACCCCTAATGGGAGCTGCCGAGGGGTATGACACGGTCCCGTTCGCGGCCGTTTTGTGGGGATGTCTCAAGCGGTTCGTTTGTTTTCTGTCTCAACATCCTTCGTTTGGAGAGCAGATTGTGAGGATGTTTCAGGCGGGGCGCTGGTTTCAGCTACCTGAGGGGAGCCGCCAAGGGTGCTTTCACGGCTCCATTCGTCGCCGTTCTGTGGGATGTCTCTAGCGGTTTGCCTGTTTTCTGTTTTTGCGTTGTGTCCCGAGTGGTTCTCCCCGTTGTATGTTCAGCATAGCACTACCCTGCACATTGGATGCACATGTGGCTCTATGGCTAGACGCTCTTAAAAGAGATGCACAGATGGGGAGCTCCACGCAGTGAGTAATTTATCACCCTTGTTCGGATCTCCGATGGACGTCTTGGTGGTCCGTTCGAGCCTCGGCCTCGTCCCCTCAGCCTCGGCCTCTGTGGCCGTTCTCGGGCCGCGGGCTCCCTCCTCCTCCTCCTCCTCCTCCTCCTCCTCCTCTTCCTACTCCTACTCCTACTCCTGCTCCTCCTCCTCCTCCTCGTCCTCGTCCTCGTTCTCGTCCTCCCCCTCCTCCCCCTCCTCCTCCTGCAGGATGACGTTGGTCTGGGGACGAACGGCGGGGCTGCGGCTGCCCCCGGGAGAGGGGCCCCCGCACGGGGTGGTGACCACACCGTGTGGTGAGTCGGTGGGCATTCGGGGTCACCGCACGGTTTTGGGGACGCGGGTCGTTCTCCGAGGACGTCTCGGGCGATGGAGGCATCCGAGGTCCCAAAGCCGTGCGCCGACGGGCCGTGCGGTGAGGTCTCGGTGGAGTTCGAGGTCACCGCACGGTGTGTCACCGCACCGTGTCGGGACTCCAAAGAAGGGTCTGGGGTTTCTTGGGGCCGTGGACTGCGAAGAATACGTCGTCGTAGGCCTGGGTCGCCTCGGTCCTCAGCTTCTGTCTTGTCGAAGAGCCTCGTCCTCCACGCCCACCTCGTTCTCGTCGCTGTCTCGCCCACGCCCACAAGAACGCGCGGCATGCCGCCCTTTCGCTGGCCTCCCCCCTGCCCCTTTTTCTGCAGCCCCCCTGCTCGTCCCGACTGGATTCCGCGCCGCGAGTCAGAGGAGAAACAGGGACCACCGCCCGAGAACCTATGCGATCGTGTTCTTAGGCATTGCTTTCCGATCGGCGCGGGCCCTCGCACCCCTTTCCTCCTACCCCATGGGGTAGATCTTGGCTGTTTTTGGCGCCGGTTTCGGGCAGGTGGAGTCTCCCCCCTGGGACGCACTGTTGCAAACAGCGCGGAGCCAGACCCCCCCTCTCCCACTCCCCCTTCCGCCCAATGTCGAAGCGCCGAAGACAAGGTTCACCACCGAGAACCCACGAGAGGGGGAGGCCGACCCCAGGGGCGGTGGCACGCCCGACAGCGCCGTCGTCCTCAGGCAAGTGCAGCGCGGGCGTGCCCCCGCCCAAGAGGGCCGGCCCTCCGCCGTGATGGGTTCTCGGTGGCGGTGGTCCTTGGTCCTCCTCGGGTTCGGGCGGGCGGTAACAGTGGGCGACCTACATTCCGAGTAGGGGATCGACTACAGAGCTGATGTACCCCAAGGTGGATTGCCACCAGCGACTCTGCGACGAACGCGCAGGATTTCTGCAAATCTACTCGGCGTTTTAAGATTGTTCCATAGACTCGACGAGAATATTGCTTTTTTCTTGGGGAGATCGGTTTTGCAGTCGACCCACTACACGGCGAAAGGGGGTGGAGGCAGGGGCTCCGAAGGGGCCCTCGTGGGCCCCCGCTGGCTCCCAACTGGTCCTCGAGGGGCCCCTGCCGGACCTTCCTCTTCGCCCCCCGCCCGCGTCGCCCCCCCTTGCCGCCCGCCGAACGGGTGCTCGCCCACCC